ATTTCTTTTTCAGGAAAAGAAGTTAGTTTGTTCGATGAATGACGCAACGATCCCTCCAACCCCACAAATTTATCAACGCAGTCTCCTCCAATCGACAACAGTACAACTCTTTTTTGTATTCTTTCATTTCAACCGCACCTTAAAGTTTATATTTCATCTTAAAAATATTTATTTGTTTCCGGTAAATAGGTAAAATAAAATTGACAGGAAATAATCAGTCAGATAGACAAAGCAAGCGACTGACACATACCGGTAATTAGCAAAGAATCACTGGCCATGTCAACTGGTATTTCAAAAGCTTTCTAATTTTCATTTTAATATTTCAACTTATGAATAAGTATTCATACGTTGACAGAAAAAGTCACAATGAAAGATAACATCAACTGTTTATTGTTCCTGTCGCTGTTTTTATCAACGCCATTGTTACTGCCCTTTTGATTATTATTTTTGCTGCTGTTATCATAACAATAATCGAAATGACGGAGAAACGAGAAAAACGAAAGCGAAATTATCGAAGTGAACAATTTACGTTAATAATTCCATCGAGCGAGGGAAACCGTTTTCGCAGTTTTTCTTTCTTCTCACCTCATTAATATTTACATATCATACAAGAACAAATCATTCTTCCCTTCCACACCGTGACCTTTGATCCTTTCTCAGTTTTCACTCTCAATATTCTTTTCACATAAGTCGCAGATGATTTAAATGATAATTATTTATAAATAATAAATTTGACGAAATCGTACAATTAATATGATAACTTTTTCTTCATAATTCAATTAAAGTTGCTTTCATTTTATCAGTCCGGAAATCCGTAATAATCGAGTTACATAATAATATCTGTCTTACATAGGCTTTTACTTAAAAAAAGAAAATTTCCTCGTATAATGTGATAAAATTCATAATTGCCATTGATATTTGAGCATTCATTACCTTTGCTAAAATTTGCATATCGAAAATTTGTGATCACTTTCCCACGCAGAAATATCTTTATTCATATTTTTTGTCATTTTGAATTAATGTGCACAAATGATAAAAGATGCAAATTATTGATTTTGTGTATGACAAATGGATTCGTCTCTCTTGCAAATTTGAATATTGCATTAAAAAAAAAAATTAATGTACAAATTTCAGGCAATCATCTTCAATCAGTTATTGTTAGCAATTATTTTGACCTGAATTACTACGTGTGCACTTCAAATTTTGCTGATGTCAACAAAAAATTTGCCGTTCAAGGAGGAAAATTTAGAACCATTTCCAATATGTGACGCTGGACGTGTTAGCTTTAAGTATAATTGGACAACAAAAATTTTGATGCGACAACTGAACGATAGTGAATCAGTCATTCTACACGTATCACCAAAATTCGCAACTGTTCATGGACAAGTCGCTTTTCAATGGTCTTTGCAAATGCATGGCACAACTTTTCTTAACAATAAGGTTTGTTTGTTTGTTTTTTTGTTTATTTTATCACTTGTTAATAGAGTGCTAAAATTATTTTCGAAATGAATATTCCAGTAAAACTATGAAATAAATCTTCGAATAATATCAATACTAAAAATGGACCATCTTCATTTGTTGATTTATTGAAATTTAACGAAATATTTCAGAAAATAATCAAATATCGTAACCATTATTTTAATTAATTATTAGAATAAATGTTATTGCAAATATTAAAGGAGGAAATAGAGCTAAAAGAAGAATGTCAAGATGAAGTGGAATGTGAACCGAATTATATAGCATTATCGTTGTATTTCAACGATGGACCAGCACCAATTGTGGATGATTTACAAGTAATCACGAAACTTTTACAGGATAAGAAATACAGCATTGATAGCGATGATAATGGCTATCTTGTTGCTGAAAGTAATTTCATTTCTATCTTTATAAATAAATTAATTCGAAAAAAACGATTAAATTTAATCATTTTAATTGGCCCCAAAGAATGAAATTTCTTTTACGCATACTTAATTATGCATTAAGCAAAATATCCGATGTTTATTCATCAAATAATACCTAGCAATTGTTTTTTTCCTAAATTTTCGTTACCAATCTTTCCTTCAAAAAAAAAAAAAAAACTATTCATTCTTTAAAATATTTACAACACTCGTTTCATGATTATGATTATAACATTTCAAATTATGATTATAATGTAACATATATTTACATCAACCGCATGTTTAATAGAAATAATTTATTTATCAGCCTTAATAAATGATAGATAAGTTTAGTGGTATAAGATAAAAAAATGTTAAAGCAGTAAAAAAAAAAATACGATATTAAATATTGGAAGTAGAGTCGTTAGCTTTAAAAAGAATCCTAAATAAATAGAGTTGTCGATGAATTTCAATCTAATTTTTTTATCAAGGATATCCTAGGATTAATTTTTTAACAAAAGCTAATATCATCTATCCTAATGGTTTGATATGCAAATTTTATTTTAGGATGGGATTGATTTTTTTTTTTTTTTAAAACTGTTCTGCAACTTCAACAATTACCATATTTCAGCAAAGAAATTAAGCGCTGTTCGCGGTAAAGAAACAGAACTGACAGCAGTTCAACGTTTTGATTTCTCGAACTACATAAAGGTTAGCAATTAGTTTCACTTTTAATATTTATCATTTTCGAGAATTTACATAAATTTGAATAAATTATTCAACCATAATAGGAAATCGATAATGCGCGCTCGAAATTATTGATTGAGTTTTGAATCTGTTTTATTGTTTGTTCTTTTTAATCTTCCAACATGAAAATAACACATTAATAAACGGGCAAAAAAATTGATGAAAAAAAAATATAAAAGTATAAAAAAAAAGAAGCAATCGATAATGTGATAATAGAATACAAGAAAGTATATAATAATTTTTTATTGATAAATAGCGATGAAATGATGAAATATTAAGCAATCATTCAAGATTTCATTTTATTTAGTTAATATTAAAGGAGTAATCCGATTATTTTTCCATAATTTTTGATCAACCATTTGAACAGTTTGTTTTTTTTTTCGTTCAGGATAACATAGGTCAAGTGATTCGTTTATCGATTACGTTAAATTTGCCTGTACAGCTATTTGAACCGAATACTTACCTTAGTACACTTACGCCAACACCAATCACGTCATTCCTTACCGCGAACTACAGAGCAAGAGCATCATCAAAAGTCTTCAATAGGCAATCATGGAAGTTTGTTATTTCATTGCTTATCACATTTCCATTATCGTTCTTTCACTCGTTTCAAATTTTAATAAATTTAAATGAAATGCAAAATTTAGTTAGCAAATAATCAATTTTAATTATCATAAAAAGTGGTTGATGAATGAGAGATAAGGCATTCTTCTATGAAATATCAGTGTTTAAGGTATGTTAGCTGAAATAAATATCAAGAATATTGAAGAATGTGACAAGATGATATATGAAATAAATTATTAGCAATAGCAGAATGCAATTTGTTATCAGCTATAGGCTTTTCAGGAATAAATTATTGAATAGCATGGAAGACAATCTTCGCCGAAGGCTATCTTTAAAGCAAAAAGATGATTTCGAAGAAATTTTCAATCATATAATGAACGAGGAAAAAGAACTTTATACCAAATCTCATTCAGGGATCGATTTCAAGAAATGCGACGAATCAAAATCTAGATCAACGTTAGCTGACAATGCTAATTACTGTTGAGATGATTATTTTTTATATAAAATTTATTGTTCATTTCAATACAGTAATTAGCAATCGGTTGAGGATCTTAATTTGCAATTAAGATTATTCGTTTAAAAAGAAAATTATTGTTGTAATTGCAATCCTTGGTATAATTAAGTGTAAAATTAGGACATAGCATACGTGGAATATAATGATGAAAAGGAAGTTTAAAATGAATGTTAAATTTTTTTTTCTTTATAAATATTAAATTTCAGTTATAAATTATTCAAAAAATTGTTGGTAGCATGTTGTGATGGTTGCCAAAAACGAGCAAAAATAATGGAAGAGGAAAATCTTGAGATGGATGAGGAAGAGATTGATGGATTGGATGATGAAAATGCCTTTGAATGCAATGAACAGAATAAAGATACTATCCATGAGGTGATTATCAATATTTTTGAAAATTTCTTCATTTTAAGTTTGAGAAACAAGAATTTTAATATGGTTCAAAAAGTTAATTTTGGCTAAATTATTTTTTACACTCTAAGAAAAATAATATGGGAATGATTTAATTCACAAAAAATAGTATGGGAATGATTAAAATTTTCTTGATCGAATGATTTAATTCACATTGTGAAATTAAATCATTCGATCAAGAAAATTTAAGAATGATTTAATGTTTGAAAATCAAAAAATTAAACTTCAATATCTCTTTAGCTGCTCGCTAATATGTTTTTCACGAAAGTCATCCTACCAGAAATGGAATATGTTGAAAATTTCGCCGATTTTTTAATTGATGCAGAATTGCAAAATTTACCGGTACTAAAGCGAGTATGTGAAGGCTACCTCTGTAGTGAATTAAATTCGGTAAGTTTATGTCATCAACTTTACACATTCTTTTTTTTTTTGCTAAAACTCTCTGCTATCAATGATCAATAAAGTTTAATTTGATTATATTAATGATAAGAAAAAAAAAAGCTTGCAAATCTTCAGCAGTTATTTTTGGATAAAAATAATTAAACTTTTCCCAATGGTAAAAGTTATCAAAGCTTAATCATCACACTATGTAAATATTATTTTTCCAGAAAAAGAATTTAATAACATCATTGCTATTGGAACTTTTATTTCTGGCCATTGTTTTTAATTTACGTGTATTGAAGTCAATGACACTTTCCGAACTCTCCAATCGTCCCGAAGAATTGGACGAACCGGATGCCATATTAGCTCATGATGAATACAAGTAAGCTATTTTTCCCGTTCGCTCATTGATATTTATGGGTTTATTATCAGAAATGGAAATTAATGATGATTTGAATATCAGTTTAGACATCCGTCATTTATTTGCTGGTAATTATCTTTATATATATTTCCATGTTTTCAATGAAATTTTATAGAAATTTGGACCGTCGAATGATAAAATTCAGCGGAAGTAATCTTGTTGAGGTGATCGAAGAAGTGCAACGTTTCCGAGAGCAAAGGTTGCGTACAAAACTGGTTAAAATGAACTGATACAACTGATACTTCGGTTTGTTTTTAATGTTTTTTTCATCTCTTTCAAACGGTAACGAAAAGCTATTAATTGTTAATCATCTGAATTAGACTTAATATCAATTTTTTATTTTTATTTTTCGACAACTTTTGTCGTTAAAATTTTCTTAACCAAACTCAATTTTAAATTTGAAGTTTAATATTTTTTAATCTATATTTGCAACAAAAACAAACATTGAGGAAATCACAATGATGTGCACAGTTTTGTGCATTACCGGTATTTGTTAAAGGAAGTAATTAACAACAAAGAAAAAAAAAACTTGAACAATTTAAAATAGATTCATAGGGAAAATGCAATTGATATTCACAAACAAACAGTGATCTTTTTTTCAGGATGAATCAAGTGAATGATAATGATACGAATTCTGCTCACTTATAACTGCAGGGTTTTTTAAGAATCCAAATATTCCATAAGCCTTTCTATTCTACACTTCTTATCATCCCATTTTCTGGGATTAGGTAGTCTTTATAATCAAATATTATCTCCAAATTTGGATAATGGAAGATGACATCATTAGATGAAAAAGCTTTACAGGTAAAAATGAACCAGCGGCATCTTTTTTATTCCATATTTCTTAATAGGTCATAAAGAAAATCTGAAAACCAATGACATATGTGATAGATGCTGTTGCCTCTTCTTAGGTAACGCGGTGACGTTTTCGAACTTGTTCTTCTTCAAGTTCAACAACCAGGTACAATGATTCAGTACTTTGCTCAGGTGTTAACCCAAGTGGAATACCTTTCCATTCCAATGGATTACAAGTTGACCAACGATGTGTATTACTGGAAGCATTGCTTGAACCACTTGTTCCTGGTTGCTTCTCATCTGTAATGTTGTGTAAATTGTCAATATTCTGCACCTGTTTATACTCTTTAAAATTTGGCCACCACACTTATTGACGGAATTAAATTTCCAAACATCTACAATTTCTATTTATGAAAAATCTCAATATCAATCTGTAACATAATCAATTAATAGCACAATAAATTCCAACAAATGCTTAAAATGCTTAAAATGCTCAAAAGCTATATCGACTCTGTTTTTTTTGAAATGAGTCCCTTACTAAATAGTCGTTTACCCATCATCATTAATACAGGAAAAGAAAGTCAAGGTTGAACTTCTTTATGGAGTAACCGATTTTCGAAAGTGAATACAACTGGAACGTAAATTCCCTGGGAAAATCTCCACAACAAAAACTAAACTACAAAGTGATTTTCCAGCTAACCCTTGCTGTTATTAGTTTCTACTTAATCTCTTAATCTCTACTGGTATATCATTATTTGTGTTATATATTTTAATTTATAGACAATGGAAATCACATCGTTTTTCTTATTGTCATCTACAAAAAGTATCAACTGTTTTCGGTGTTTTAAAAAAAGAAGAGGGCAAATAACCGCAAATTTGAATTTGAATGTATAATTCAAACTGTATCGCATTATATTTTATAATTTAAGTGACTGATTTTTAAAATTTACAGCGCGGAGAAAACACCATTTTGAAATCTTAATTTTTTTGAGAAAAACTAAAAGTGATTGAGGTCTCACCGAGAGCATTGAAAAAGCCCTTCGTGTGTAAGTAAGTCATTTAGGACAAGCCGTAAATCCGAAAAAATATCTCAACACTAATGACGAAAGTATTTGTCGCACAACTAGTTCACGCGAGTCGTATAACTATGTATTGAATGGTACTAAAGATTCTCATAATGATGCTAAACTCTTAAATTGTTTCATCTAATCTACTAGACTTTTAATATTGAAAAAGTATTAGTGGATATAATTACTTAAGTAAGGGGATCAATAAAAACGAAAAATAATAAAATCGAAGAATTATGAATAACTAACTTTTTTTCTGCATCATTAACTGTTGCAAGTCTTCGACAGTTCTCAAAGATGTAGCAATATCGGAAGAAACTCGAGATGTTGATGTTTCTGAAGTAATCTCCACTCTAGAAGATAGATTTGCTAGTTGCCTCAAAGCATCCTGTCCTTTTTCTGTCATTTTTCCATGTTTTATCAAAACTCTAAAATTCGAAATGAACTTAAAACTTCGGATATTTCTTTGAAAAGAAGAAAAGTCATGAGATAAGTTAAAGACAAGAATTCATTATGGCATCTTCCAAAGAAAAAGATAAAACAGTGTCTATCTGGTTTGCGTAATTTTTTGGCCAGATATTCTGGTAAAGACTAAAAATCCTACTAGAAACAAGAGATTAATAAAAAACTTACTTCTCAAAATAGGCTTCTCTTAATTCCTTTGGAGCTAACATTATCGCCTTCAAAATTCTCTCCCATTCAGATTGAGTTAGGACGTTAGCTGAAATAAATTACATTAAAAAATAGAAATTTGTTGCGACTGCAATATCAAGCATCTAATAAATTTCAATACTATCAATTATTATGAAAAATCAATCAATAAAGCTTCATATATCCTTCTGAGAAGTCAAAAAAAGTAAGTACACGTATCAAGTGAGAATATCAATTTCATGTTTAACATAATTATTAACAAAAAATCTAGAAAAAAGCTAACATTCTATATAAGCAATTAACATTCGATCACTCCATGCAATTAGTTGTCGTTTCCGTATCGGTTGCATTTCATCGTCTGATAAAGTTTCAAGAAGCTGGAAAAAAGATAAACTCAGTCCATAGGAGAGAGAATGCTTCATAAATATTGGCCTATTATTATTATGAATATAAGCAGTGAAATAAATCAATACTTAGAATCATAACATATATTCTCATTGATCCCTCATCTCAACAGTAAATGCTTGCAAATTATTTACTGCTAATAACAGATAAGGCGTAATTTCATAATATCCCTTTTAATATGTCTCGCGCAGATATTTCTCGTACAGTAACATTTACCTGGAAAAGTAACTCGGGCAACATTTTGGCTTCATTCAGGTAATGAAAGATTGGTTTCCAGAAAAGTTGCAAATCTTCTGGAATATCCCATATTTTTTCATTTTCTGAAACCAAAAAAAAAAATTATCGGGAGTTTTTCAAACGAAAATGCAAAAAAAACAAATTGAAAATGTTCATAGAAGTAACGATAACCATTTTTCAAAACCATAAAACTTCACTGTAATTTAATTTTCCGCTTGCTTCTACTTCAATGTACTTAATATAAAATATGCAATTTTACAGCTAATAATCAAGTACCTGCAAATAAATTATAATCAATCGATTTAGCTTGTTTTTCGTTTAAAATCAAATATCCTTCCATTAAAAATGCGTTCAGAAATTCCCTGAAATGAGGTTGAATTCAATATGGATCCATCTTTCAGGCTGACATATAAAAAATTCTATACTCTGAAGTAAGCTGTGACAATAAAATTAATTCCCAGCTCTATATACCCTATTGTAAGCTGGACAAGTAAACAATTTAATAACCATAAATATGAATTTAGTCGATCGATTTCAATTGCTCAAAACACTGTTAGAGATTACTTAAAACTTCACTCAAAGAAAGAGTTTAATTCTTATGTTTTAAAGAAAAAGAACGCTGAAAATAATTTAGAAATAATCAAATAAAGAAAAAAAAGTTTCCGTAAAACAGACACAATTGTGAACAGTACGCAAAATTAAAATTATCATTGTAAATGAATGAAAATTTTAAACAGTTTACCAAGGATGCATCATAATGAACGTTTCCATTTTTGTCAGTACCTTCTGCAACTTCATATTCCTGTCTGTTCTATCTTTTTTCTTACGTGCAGATAGTTTCATCTGAAGAATCATTTATGAGTAACTAAATACGTGGGTGACAATAATGGTAATGACAGCTTACAACAATGATAATGATAAGGAGTTGATTCCCCACTGAATATATTATAATCATTGCTTTCATCATGCTCAGGTTAGGCAAGCCAAATAATAATTTAAAATTCTCCTCCAGAACAACTACTAAACTAAAAAGATCGAATTCTTCTCTTTTGCTTTTCTCTGTTAATTCTACTGAAAACTGTTTAGCCCACCTTACCAAACTAAGCAATTTGGTTATTTCCGAATCTATGTTTTATTAATTGAATCACCTTTTGTAAAGAAAATAACATGAATCGATCAATTAAGTCAATAGCTTCTTGGTGCACTTCGTTTTCATTACTCTCATTTTGAATATTCGAATTTAATCCAATAGCTTCGGCTACTGGCCGTGACCAGTGATGATCCTGAAAAAATAATTCAGTGATATAATCTCATTATGGAATAAAATAGTTTGAAGAAAGTTTAATTCATTGGAAAACCTTGTATGTTAACTGCTTCTCACAGTTCGTTCGAAATCTCTTCTTGAACTATGAAATCAAATTGTAACAAACAACTCAACAATCGATTCTAAATCCTCCTACCAAAAGAACACAGAAGGCTTGGTAACGAACTGAAAGTCACCTATAATTCAAACCCAAGAAGTACGCACGTGTATAATGCAAAAGATTTACCCAAAGCCAATCCCGACAATATCTCGCTGCTTGACGCAAACTATCCAACGATGGAAGATACGAATGAGTTGCACTATGTCGAATATCAACTATCCATTGTGGGATTCCAACCTAAAATAATTTGAAATTTGAGAAATTTTTGGAAGAATCGATTTCTTTCTAAATAAAATATTTCTTTTCAAATAAAGAATTCTAAATAAAATAGCTTATTTCTAGCCAGCTTTTTGGTATATAAAAATGAATTTTCGAATATTTTTTTCTGTCTCAAAAAAACTGAAAACTGAATCTTCGAATATTTTTCTCTGTCTCTCTGTCTCTTCGAATATTTTTCGTCTTAAAAAAAAATTTCTTTTAATGAAATTTGATCATCACTTACATCACTAACAGCTGAAGCAATTGATTTGAACTTATAATTCGATTGGCATATTTCGTTAACATAATTCACAAATCTGCAAAAAAAGAACTACAGTCTTTCATTTTCTAGAATTTTTCTGAATTCGTTGCTTGATGAAGTGTATCCTGAATTTAATTACAACCGTAGAATGATGAACACCAAGAAAATGGAGAAGATTTT